CAGAAAATATTTCAAAAGGCAACAAAGTGCTGGATCTGTCAAGGCGACTTCAGTAATGATGATAAGAAGGTTATAAATCACTGCCACTATACGGGAAAGTTTAGAGGTGCAGCTCACAATTTCTGCAACCTCAAATACAAGAAACCGAGTTTCGTCCCGGTGGTATTCCATAACCTTGGTGGTTACGGTAGCCATCTGTTCATCAAGAACCTCGGTAAAAGTGAGGGAGACATCAACTGTATTCCCAACAACGAGGAGAAGTACGTCAGCTTCACCAAGGAGGTTGTTGTCGGTTCTTATACTGGCAAGGACGGAAAAGAGAAGGATGTGAAGCACCAACTCAGATCCATCGACAGCTTCAAGTTCATGGCCTCTAGTCTCGAGAAACTGTCTGGTAATCTGGGTGGGGTTTGCTTCACTAACACTTCGAAATATTATAATGGAAAACAATTATACCTCCTGGTGCGGAAGGGTGTCTACCCATATGAATATATGGATTCACTCAAAAGACTATCAGAAACAGCACTTCCTGCAAAAGAAGCATTCTACTCCAGAATCAGTGGAGAGGGTATCAGTGATGATGATTATAGGCATGCACAAAAGGTGTGGAAAGAGTTTGAGATGATGTCGCTCGGAGACTACCACGAACTGTACAATCAGTCGGACGTGTTGCTCTTGGCCGATGTCTTTGAGAACTTTCGAGATGTGTGCATTAAGAACTTTGATCTTGATCCAGCATGTTATTATACCGCTCCTGGTCTAGCATGGGATGCTGCTTTGAAAATCACCGGAGTGCAATTGGAGTTGTTGTCGGATCCAGACATGTTGCTTATGGTTGAGAAAGGCATCCGAGGTGGCATTTCTATGATCACCAACAGGTATGGTAAAGCGAACAATCCATACATGGAAGCCAAGTACAACCCAAATGAGACAACAAAATATATTACATACCTGGACGCCAACAATCTCTACGGTTGGGCCATGAGTAAACCGCTTCCTACGCACGGATTCAAATGGATGACTGACAGTGAACTGGACTCCTGGAAAAAACCACAGCTGTATACTGGAGGTTGACCTTGAGTATCCAAAGGATCTGCACGATCACTACAATGACTATCCCCTTGCTCCAGAAAGTCTCAAAGTAGGAAAGGTTGACAAACTAATTCCAAACCTTAGAGACAAAACGAAATACGTGTTGCTTTATGAAAATTTAAAGCTATACGAAAACTTGGGGTTGAAGATTGCAAAGATCCACAGAGGCATCAAGTTTGCGGAAAGTGTGTGGTTGAAGCAATACATCGACCTGAATACAAACCTCAAAGCAAAGGCAAATAACGAGTTTGAAAAAGACTTCTTCAAGCTCATGAACAACTCTGTTTTCGGAAAGACCATGGAAAACATCAGGAACCGAGTGGATATCCGGCTAGTCAACAATGAAACAAAAGCAAAGAAGCTTGCAGCAAAGCCAAATTTCAAGCATTGCACCATCTTCGATGAGAACCTGGTTGCCGTGCACATGAAAAAGACGAAACTGAAGTTCAACAAGCCCGATTATCTAGGAATGTGCATCCTCGATCTGAGTAAGACGTTGATGTACGATTTCCACTACAACTACATCAAAGCCAAATTTGGAGAGAGAGCGACTCTGCTTTTTACCGATACTGATTCTTTGGCATACGAGGTGCAGACTGAAGACTTTTACACTGACATCTCTGGCGATGTGGCTGCCAAGTTTGACACGAGCAACTTCCCAAAGGATCACCCATCGGGCATTGAAGCCGGACACAACAAGAAAATGGTGGGTATGTTCAAGGACGAAGCAGGAGGTAAGATCATTGGAGAGTATGTGGGATTGAGAGCCAAATTATATTCTTACCGGATGTTTAGTGGAGTCGAGGAAAAGAAGTGTAAGAGGGTGAAGAAACCCGTTGCCAAAAAGAACATTTGGTTTGATGATTACAAGAAATGTTTGTTTACGGGTGAGGAACAGATGAATGTCATCAGGAGTCACCACCATGAAGTGTATACAGAGGAAGTGGACAAGGTTGCTCTTTCGGCAAACGACGACAAGCGAATCATCCTGGAGGACGGAATACACACGCTGGCCCACGGACACTGGAAATCGTTTTAGAATATAGCATGGTATATATAAAAATGAACATTTCAGTCGGAAAAGTCGTTTTACCAAATAAACCACTGAGTAATATTGAGGCCGCGGATGAATTAAAAATACCAAACTTTTGAGGAGTATTTCTGCATGACACACTTCCGAAGAAAGCAAAGAGAAATGAATGTGGGATTCTGAAATTAGATTCTAGTGACGGAGGAGGAACGCACTGGGTCGTCTGGTACAACCAAGGAAAAAGTAAATACTATTTCGATAGTTATGGCTTACAACCTCCGAATGAGTTAATATCCTATTTGAAGCGAGGGATCTTGTACAATACAGAACAGGTTCAACAAGCCGATCAGGTATTTTGCGGTCATTTGTTTTTATACGTTCTAAAAGAGATGAGTGTTGGGAAAGATCTTCAAGATATAATAAACGGATTGTATTGATTAAAAAAAATTATATTAAAAAAATGCCTGTTGATAAATTCGGACGGATGCCAGAGTACAGATCGGAACCCGGTGTGTCTCTGACGTACATCAATAAGAATTTTCTACGAAAAGCTGATGTGGCTGAATTAAAGAACGTCATCCAAGACTTAAGAGTCAAGTATTCTCAGCTATTAGATAATACACAAAAATTACTGCGAGAATTGGATAAAAAATACATAACTATTTGGGCCGAAGAAAAGGGCGGTCTTGTGAGAGGTAAATACGAATACTCGTTTGGTAATGGTGTAACAGGAAAAAAAGCTGGTTATACCGTGCTAGCACCAACTAAAGTTTTGAAAATGGGTATGTCGGTTACAACACCAGAATCCTCTCCTGAAGAGGCTGGTGTAGTCCTCGTGGTAAACGGTCGTAAAACTCGATGTAAAATTTTAAAGCCACAAGGAGAATTTAATCACGTTTCAGATGTGGAAGGAATCAGATTAAATGTAGGTGATGTGATCAACTTTGTATCTGAAATAACAACAACGAAAATTACCGGAGCTATTATTTCGCTTCTATTAGAAATTACTTTATAAAATATATTTTATATTAAAAAAAAATGCCTGTTGATAAATTCGGACGGATGCCAGAGTACAGATCGGAACCCGGTGTGTCTCTAGCTTACATAAATAAGAATTTTCTACGAAAGAATGGGGCTATCGTAACCGGTTCCATAAATATGACAGGAAATACGTTAACGAACGTGTCGGATCCCGTGAACGCGCAAGACGTCTCTACTAAGAATTATGTTGATGATATTGTTAACTCCACACCCGTAACCACCGTCGTAACAGTGGGTGCGCACAATCTGGATGATACGTATCATATTATTATGGTAGATACCACCGACGGAAACGTTGTGCTAAAATTTCTGCCAATGGCTGCTGTCGGTAAAGAATATATAGTGATTCACGAAAAATACGGTAATCAATGTTCAATGTGGGATCATGAAAATAGAAAAGTTAATCCGGAGTATAGTACTAATACATTTGTTGGGACTTTAGAATCTTTGAATATTTTTGCCGGAGAATCGAGAACATTTAAATGGAGTGGTGAACGTTGGGTGGTTACTTCAAAGTACATTCGTGAGATAGCTAGAGTTAGTAAGAGTGGAGACGCCATGACTGGATCTTTGCATATGGGAGGTAATGAAATAACTGGCCTATCCTTGGGTCAACCCTCGACTGATGGTCACGCCGCAACAAAAGATTATGTGGATGCTGTTTTAGTTGACTCGTGGAGAATTTATGGTCCATATACTTATTTGCACACTCAAGCAGAAACTATCACCCCATCAAATACGACAACTTATCAAACTTTACCTTTTATAACACTAACGATCCCAAATGTAAAGGTGGGGGATTATTTAGAAGTTTTCACCTACCTGGCTGTGGATTATAGGAGTTACTATTCTATTGGTGATTTGGTGATGGTAGACGTTGAGACGGGGGATGAGTTGTTTGAAAACGCGTCCCTGATAAGTCAGTTTGCGGCTGGTAGTAAAGGTACTAAGGTAAAAACAAAAACGGCCTACATGATGTACATATCACCTGTTCCTATTACTCGTGATGCAAATGCTGTATGCACAATTAAGGTGAAAGCAAAAACAATATCACCAAGAGTATATCAAGAAAACCGGTGTGGATTTTATGTGAAGCACATGAAAAAATTTACTGCCTAACACTGAGAAGACGAGCCAAGAGATGTACAGGATAGAAAAGGTCGTCAAGAAGGGGAAAACAAAGTCGTTGGTCAAGTGGAAAGGGTATCCAGAGTCGTTCAATTCATGGGTCAGCAATAAGGAGCTAGTTACATTATGACATTATTTTCTTTAAGTCATTTTAAAATAATGTTATGTTCTTGAAATTATTTTATATATTTTCGTTTTCTTTAACTCATTTTTCTTGAATTTTTTTCCCCCTTAGGTAACCATGTTTAACCATGTTTAAACATACAATCGAATTTCGACCATTGTTGTGGTTGGATATGTGAAAATGTCCCAGAATCGGCAATTTCCTACTACTGATGCCCCTTACTTTCCCCGTTGTTTCCTAGTTGTATACCATGTTCTCTTTTGGGAACGTGGCATTGCTTGCTTGGTCTTATTTTCTGAACTTTTGTTCACGAATCTCCGTGTAAATCTTTCTTTTATTCACATTTCCACGTTAGTTCACCGAATTTGAGTTTGAATCTATATTTTGTTGACACCTTGATGTATTTTTAAAGCTTTTAGATTATCATCAAGTTTATACGATGTTATTGTCGTAAGGAGAGGGCGTCTATATACATTTAACATTCTGAGCAGTATAAATCATATTAAAACCAAATTTCCTTTATATATATATTATAAAGCTCACAATTGCTTGTCTATATAAACACGTATTACAACATAACCTCACCTGAGCGGATATATTTATGCACAGGTATGCCAGGGTCAGTACATACACATCTCGATAGATGCTTCTGTCTGATAGCTGTAAAATATGAAGTATTCAAGTATAAGTCGCTATACCATTGAAATATGTACAATTCGATATAGATGAAGTAATACGAAAACCGTTACAATTTGATCATCTGACGGTTCATATAACCAATAGCTACCCAAATATTTTCGTGTCGATCCATCTGACGTCTCACATAAGTATGCTTACCCAGTTCTACTGACTGATAAATGATGAAACATGATACCGTTTCTTACTGTCTAATATTCTGACGTCTCACATAAACAATGCACTTACCCTTATACTCTCCAAGAGCTGTGAGTACATACCAATAAGAACGATGTCTACAATCAGATGCAAAGTCAATGGCAGTGTGCTCTAAATAAAACACCCAAAAAACCCAATTAATATCATCTGTACATTGTAACACTCGGGCCCCACTAGATTTTACTTTAGATATAACATCACGTGCCATATTTGACACGACATGTAGCGCCATATTTGACACGACATCTAGCGCCATATTTGACACGATATCAAGGGCCATATTAGACACGACATCAAGGGCCATATTTGACACGACATCTAGCGTCGTATAAGACGACATCACGCGTCATATAAGAAACGATATCAAGCGCCATATTAGACACGATACCAAGCGCCATATTTGATACGACATCACGTACTGTAGTAATCATATTACGCGTTCTATCAAACAATAACCATTGACAAAAATATTTCTAATCGTGAAAATGTATCAGGCTTACATATACATGTTTGTATGATGATGGTGGTTACTGACTTACACCGGATAACAAAACATAGTTACTCGACAATGACACAGCAACAATTCACATGGCAAATTCGAGAATGAATGATAGTCATTGTATTGTATGATGAAATATCTGATATCATTTTCAATTATAATAAGAACGTTTATATGATGTCATAACATACCAGGAGCAAACCGGTATTCCATTTACAGAGAGACGATACCACATTAAACACGCCAAAGATTATTGAGATTGGAATGACCACTAGTAGTGTAATGTTGGCTCCTTGTATCATCTCGCTTAGGTATAGAGTCCCTACATACATCTGGTCCAGTTGTCTATCATCAAAATGCACACTTATCATTATCAAGGCTGCAACGTCTAACACCTGAAATGTCAAAAGAAAATATGCGTAAGGAGGAAATCACATGAGTTTCCATCCATTACTATAACAAGAAAGGAACATTGTTCTGGTCAGTGTTTTACAGAAGGGTATTTCGTATTTCTGGCGTGTTTCACTTTTCTGGTGAGTGTTTTACAGAAGGGTATTTCGTATTTCTGGCGTGTTTCACTTTTCTGGTCAGTGTTTTACAGAAGGGTATTTCGTATTTCTGGCGTGTTTCACTTTTCTGGTGAGTATTTTACAGAAGGGTATTTCGTATTTCTGGCGTGTTTCACTTTTCTGGTGAGTATTTTACAGAAGGGTATTTCGTATTTCTGGCGTGTTTCACTTTTCTGGTGAGTGTTTTATATGAAGGTTTTCTGTATTTCTGGCGTGTTTCAGTTTTCTGGTCAGTGTTTTACAGAAGGGTATTTCGTATTTCTGGCGTGATTCACTTTTCTGGTGAGTATTTTACAGAAGGGTATTTCGTATTTCTGGCGTGTTTCACTTTTCTGGTGAGTATTTTACAGAAGGGTATTTCGTATTTCTGGCGTGTTTCACTTTTCTGGTCAGTGTTTTACAGAAGGGTTTTCTGTATTTTTGGCCTGTATTTATTTTAAATATCTGGGTTTTTACTAGCACTTCTGGTGTGTTTTAGATTTCTGGCGTCTGTTTTTGATATCTGGTGATTGTTTTAAGACTTATAGTGTTTCCGGTATACCTACCATTGACGCCGCTTGAACAAAACACAGGCCTAAAGCCAAATGTTTAAATGTCGGCATCTTCTTATCGTTGATGCATCTAGAACAAGATATATATTGTCATGAGTTGATTGTCCAACAAGGAACCGGAGATCTTTTAAAAGAAATTTATGGTACAACTTTTACAAGCCTTTAATTAATCATTTCAATGAAGGATAACAATTCTTCGAATCGCATTATTTTAGCCGACCTGTTATTAAGGAATATGTTAGAGAATATTCCTCTGTCTCCTCTAGCCACTCGCCCTTTATATGCCCTGTCCAGTATCACTAGGAGGAGTATCTGTAATTAAATATCATAATGGATATCATCAATAATCGTTTAATTTTGGCGATACTAGCTACGTTTTAAAAATTTGGAAGGGAAAAGAGGACAATATAAGCATAAAATTTTAAAACAGATATTGAGAAGTGTTCTCCCCACACTTTTGTCTGAAAAGTTGTCTTTATCCATAGTTGGGTCAGAGAAGCGTTTTACCCCAAAGTTTCTTTAGAACAGCGCATCTTTGAATTAAGCTCATAATTTGTTCGTGGTGTTGTATTTACGTTTGATCATGGTGTTGTATTCATCACATAGTTTGATTGTGAAGTTGTATTTACAACATAGTTTGATCGTGGTGTTGTTTTCACCACATAGTTTGATCGTGGTGCTATATGTACCACATAGTTTAATCGTGGTGTTGTATTCACCACATAGTTTAATCGTGGTGTTGTATTCACCATATAGTTTGATCGTGGTGTTGTATTCACCACATAGTTTAATCGTGGTGTTGTATTTACCACATAGTTTGATCGTGGTGTTGTATTTACCACAAGTTTTGATCGTGGTGTTGTATTCACCACATAGTTTGATCGTGGTGTTGTATTTACCATATAGTTTGATCGTGGTGTTGTATTTACTACATCGTTTGATCGTGATGTTGTATTTGACACATCGTTTGATCGTGGTGTTGTATTTACTATATCGTTTGATCGTGGTGTTGTATTTACCACATAGTTTGATCAAGGTATTGTATTACCACATAGTTTGATCGTGGTGTTGTATTACCACATAGTTTGATCGTGGTGTTGTATTTACCACATAGTTTGATCGTGGTGTTGTATTTACCACATAGTTTAATCGTGGTGTTGTATTCACCATATAGTTTGATCGTGGTGTTGTATTTACCACATAGTTTGATCGTGGTGTTGTATTTACCACATAGTTTGATCGTGGTGTTGTATTCACCACATAGTTTGATCGTGGTGTTGTATTTACCACAAGTTTTGATCGTGGTGTTGTATTCACCACATAGTTTGATCGTGGTGTTGTATTTACCACATAGTTTGATCGTGGTGTTGTATTCACCACATAGTTTGATCGTGGTGTTGTATTTACCACATAGTTTGATCGTGGTGTTGTATTTACTACATCGTTTGATCGTGATGTTGTATTTGACACATCGTTTGATCGTGGTGTTGTATTCACCATATAGTTTGATCGTGGTGTTGTATTTACCACATAGTTTGATCGTGGTGTTGTATTCACCACATAGTTTGATCGTGGTGTTGTATTCACCACATAGTTTGATCGTGGTGTTGTATTTACCACATAGTTTGATCGTGGTGTTGTATTTACGTTTGATCGTGGTGTTGTATTCACCACATAGTTTGATCGTGGTGTTGTATTTACCACATAGTTTGATCGTGGTGTTGTATTTACGTTTGATCGTGGTGTTGTATTACCACATGGTTTGATCGTGGTGTTGTATTTATCACATAGTTTGATCGTGGTGCTATATATACCATATAGTTTGATCGTTGTGCTATATGTACCACATAGTTTGATCGTGGTGTTGTATTCACCACATAGTTTGATCGTGGTGCTATATGTACCACATAGTTTGATCGTGGTGTTGTATTCACCACATCGTTTAATCGTGGTGTTGTATTACCACATAGTTTGATCGTGGTATTGTATTCACCACAGAGTTTGATCGTGGTGTTGTATTTACGTTTGATCGTGGTGTTGTATTCACCACATAGTTTGATCGTGGTGTTGTATTTACCACATAGTTTGATCGTGGTGTTGTAGTTACCACAAGTTTTGATCGTGGTGTTGTATTCACCACATCGTTTGATCGTGGTGTTGTATTCACCATATAGTTTGATCGTGGTGTTGTATTTACCACATAGTTTTATTGTGGTGTTGTATTTACCACATAGTTTGATTGTGGTGTTGTATTTACCACATCGTTTGATCGTGGTATTGTATTCAAAACATAGTTTGATCGTGGTGTTGTATTTACCACATAGTTTGATTGTGGTGTTGTATTTACCACATAGTTTGATCGTGGTGTTGTATTTACCACATAGTTTGATCGTGGTGTTGTATTTACCACATAGTTTGATCGTGGTGTTGTATTTACCACATATTTACCACATAGTTTGATCGTGGTGTTGTATTTACCACATAGTTTGATCGTGGTGTTGTATTTACCACATAGTTTGATCGTGGTGTTGTATTTACTACATAGTTTAATCGTGGTGTTGTATTTACCACATAGTTTGATCGTGGTGTTGTATTTACCACAAGCTTTGATCGTGGTGTTGTATTTACCACAAGCTTTGATCGTGGTGTTGTATTTACCACAAGCTTTGATCGTGGTGCTATATGTACCACATAGTTTGATCGTGGTGTTGTATTTACCACATAATTTGATCGTGGTGTTGTATTTACAACATAGTTTGATCGTGGTGTTGTATTTACCACATAGTTTGATTGTGGTGTTGTATTTACCACATCGTTTGATCGTGGTGTTGTATTCAAAACCTGGTTTAATCGTGGTGTTGTATTACCACATAGTTTGATCGTGGTGTTGTATTACCACATAGTTTGATCGTGGTGTTGTATTCACCACAGAGTTTGATCGTGGTGTTGTATTCACCACATAGTTTGATCGTGGTGTTGTATTCACCACATAGTTTGATCGTGGTGTTGTATTCACCACATAGGCTGATCGTGGTGTTGTATTTACCACATAGTTTGATCGTGGTTTTGTATTCACCACATAGTTTGATCGTGGTGTTGTATTCACCACATAGTTTGATCGTGGTGTTGTATTTACCACATAGTTTGATCGTGGTGTTGTATATACCACATAGTTTGATCGTGGTGCTATATGTACCACATAGTTTGATCGTGGTGTTGTATTTACCACATAGTTTGATCGTGGTGTTGTATTCACCACATAGTTTGATCGTGGTGTTGTATTTACCACATAGTTTGATCGTGGTGTTGTATTCACCACATAGTTTGATCGTGGTTTTGTATTCACCACATAGGCTGATCGTGGTGTTGTATTCAACACATAGTTTGATCGTGGTGTTGTATTTACCACATAGTTTGATCGTGGTGTTATATTTACGTTTGATCGTGGTGTTGTATTCACCACATAATTTGATCGTGGTGTTGTATTTACCACATAGTTTGATCGTGGTGTTGTATTTACCACAAGCTTTGATCGTGGTGTTGTATTTACCACATAGTTTGATCGTGGTGTTGCTAAATGTACCACATAGTTTGATCGTGGTGTTGTATTTACCACAAGGTTTGATCGTGGTGTTGTATTTACCACATAGTTTGATCGTGGTGTTGTATTTACCACAAGCTTTGATCGTGGTGTTGTATTTACCACATAGTTTGATCGTGGTGTTGTATTCACCACATAGTTTGATCGTGGTGTTGTATTTACCACATAGTTTGATCGTGGTGTTGTATTTACCACATAGTTTGATCGTGGTGTTGTATTTACCACATAGTTTGATCGTGGTGTTGTATTTACCACATAGTTTGATCGTGGTGTTGTATTTACCACATAATTTGATCTTGGTGTTGTATTTACAACATAGTTTGATCGTGGTGTTGTATTTACCACATAATTTGATCGTGGTGTTGTATTTACAACATAGTTTGATCGTGGTGTTGTATTTACCACATAGTTTAATCGTGGTGTTGTATTCACCATATAGTTTGATCGTGGTGTTGTATTTACCACATAGTTTGATCGTGGTGTTTTATTTACTACATCGTTTGATCGTGGTGTTGTATTTACCACATAGTTTGATCGTGGTGTTGTATTTACCATATAGTTTGATAGTGGTGTTGTATTTACCATATAGTTTGTTCGTGGTGTTGTATTTACGTTTGATCGTGGTAATGTATTCACCACACAGTTTGATCGTGGTGTTGTATTTACCACATAGTTTGATCGTGGTTTGATCGTGGTGTTGTATTTACCACATAGTTTGATCGTGGTGTTGTATTCACCACATAGTTTGATCGTGGTGTTGTATTTACCACATAGTTTGATCGTGGTGTTGTATTTGACACATCGTTTGATCGTGGTGTTGTATTTACTATATCGTTTGATCGTGGTGTTGTATTTACCACATAGTTTGATCAAGGTATTGTATTTACCACATAGTTTGATCGTGGTGTTGTATTTACGTTTAATCGTGGTGTTGTATTCACCATATAGTTTGATCGTGGTGTTGTATTTACCACATAGTTTGATTGTGGTGTTGTATTTACCACATCGTTTGATCGTGGTATTGTATTCAAAACATGGTTTGATCGTGGTGTTGTATTTACCACAAGTTTTGATCGTGGTGTTGTATTTTGATCGTGGTGTTGTATTTACCACATCGTTTGATCGTGGTGTTGTATTCACCATATAGTTTGATCGTGGTGTTGTATTTACCACATAGTTTGATCGTGGTGTTGTATTTACTACATAGTTTAATCGTGGTGTTGTATTTACCACATAGTTTGATCGTGGTGTTGTATTTACCACCACATAGTTTGATCGTGGTGTTGTATCGTGGTGTTGTATTCACCACATAGTTTGATCGTGGTGTTGTATTCACCACATAGTTTGATCGTGGTGTTGTATTTACCACATAGTTTGATCGTGGTGTTGTATTTACGTTTGATCGTGGTGTTGTATTCACCACATAGTTTGATCGTGGTGCTATATGTACCACATAGTTTGATCGTGGTGTTGTATTCACCACATAGTTTGATCGCGGTGTTGTATTCACCACATCGTTTAATCGTGGTGTTGTATTACCACATAGTTTGATCGTGGTGTTGTATTCACCACATAGTTTGATCGTGGTGCTATATGTACCACATAGTTTGATCGTGGTGTTGTATTTACCACATAATTTGATCGTGGTGTTGTATTTACCACAAGCTTTGATCGTGGTGCTATATGTACCACATAGTTTGATCGTGGTGTTGTATTTACCACATAGTTTGATCGTGGTGTTGTATTTACTATATCGTTTGATCGTGGTGTTGTATTTACCACATAGTTTGATCAAGGTATTGTATTTACAACATAGTTTGATCGTGGTGCTATATGTACCACATGGTTTGATCATGGTGTTGTATTTACTACATCGTTTGATCGTGGTGTTGTATTTACCACATAGTTTGATCGTGGTGTTGTATTTACCATATAGTTTGATCGTGGTGTTGTATTTACCATATAGTTTGTTCGTGGTGTTGTATTTACCACATAGTTTGATCGTGGTGTTGTATTCACCACATGGTTTGATCGTGGTGTTGTATTTACCACATAGTTTGATCGTGGTGTTGTATTCACCACATAGTTTGATCGTGGTGTTGTATTTACAACATAGTTTGATCGTGGTGTTGTATTTACCACATAGTTTGATCGTGGTGTTGTATATACCACATAGTTTGATCGTGGTGTTGTATATACCACATAGTTTGATCGTGGTGTTGTATTTACCACATAGTTTGATCGTGGTGTTGTATTTACGTTTGATCGTGGTGTTGTATTCACCACATAGTTTGATCGTGGTGTTGTATTTACCACATAGTTTGATCGTGGTGTTGTATTTACGTTTGATCGTGGTGTTGTATTCACCACATAGTTTGATCGTGGTGTTGTATTTACCACATAGTTTGATCGTGGTGTTGTATTTACCACATAGTTTGATCGTGGTGTTGTATTCACCATATAGTTTGATCGTGGTGTTGTATTCACCACATCGTTTGATCGTGGTGTTGTATTCACCATATAGTTTGATCGTGGTGTTGTATTTACCACATAGTTTGATCGTGGTGTTGTATTTACCATATAGTTTGATCGTGGTGTTGTATTTACTATATAGTTTGTTCGTGGTGTTGTATTTACCACATAGTTTGATCGTGGTGTTGTATTTACGTTTGATCGTGGTGTTGTATTCACCACATAGTTTGATCGTGGTGTTGTATTTACCACATAGTTTGATCCTGGTGTTGTATTTACGTTTGATCGTGGTGTTGTATTCACCACATAGTTTGATCGTGGTGTTGTATTCACCACATAGTTTGATCGTGGTGTTGTATTTACCACATAGTTTAATCGTGGTGTTGTATTCACCATATAGTTTGAATTCACCACATCGTGGTGTTGTATTCACCACATCGTTTAATCGTGGTGTTGTATTACCACATAGTTTGATCGTGGTGTTGTATTCACCACAGAGTTTGATCGTGGTGTTGTATTCACCACATAGTTTGATCGTGGTGTTGTATTTACCACATAGTTTGATCGTGGTGTTGTATTTACGTTTGATCGTGGTGTTGTATTCACCACATCGGCTGATCGTGGTGTTGTATTCACCACATAGGCTGATCGTGGTGTTGTATTTACCACATAGTTTGATCGTGGTTTTGTATTCACCACATAGTTTGATCGTGGTGTTGTATTCACCACATAGTTTGATCGTGGTGTTGTATTAACCACATAGTTTGATCGTGGTGTTGTATTCACCACATAGTTTGATCGCGGTGTTGTATTCACCACATCGTTTAATCGTGGTGTTGTATTACCACATAGTTTGATCGTGGTATTGTATTCACCACAGAGTTTGATCGTGGTGTTGTATTAACGTTTGATCGTGGTGTTGTATTTACGTTTGATCGTGGTGTTGTATTCACCACATAGTTTGATCGTGGTGTTGTATTTACCACATCGTTTGATCGTGGTATTGTATTCAAAACATGGTTTGATCGTGGTGTTGTATTTACCACAAGTTTTGATCGTGGTGTTGTATTCACCACATAGTTTGATCGTGGTGTTGTATTTACCATATAGTTTGATCGTGGTGTTGTATTTACTACATAGTTTGATCGTGGTGTTGTATTCACCACATAGTTTGATCGTGGTGTTGTATTCACCACATAGTTTGATCGTGGTGTTGTATTCACCACATAGGCTGATCGTGGTGTTGTATTCACCACATAGTTTGATCGTGGTGTTGTATTTACTACATAGTTTGATCGTGGTGTTGTATTCACCACATAGTTTGATCGTGGTGTTGTATTCACCACATAGTTTGATCGTGGTGTTGTATTCACCACATAGGCTGATCGTGGTGTTGTATTCACCACATAGTTTGATCGTGGTGTTGTATTTACTACATAGTTTGATCGTGGTGTTGTATTCACCACATAGTTTGATCGTGGTGTTGTATTCACCACATAGTTTGATCGTGGTGTTGTATTCACCACATAGGCTGATCGTGGTGTTGTATTCACCACATAGTTTGATCGTGGTGTTGTATTTACTACATAGTTATACAGTTAAACCTTAATTTGGCAGTAAGAGAGATTTGGCAAACCTCGTTCAACTGACAAATCTGGAATTTTAATCACAGACATTAATGCTAAGACTTTCATCGCTACATGATTATATCCCACAACTTTGTTGTCATAACAATACATTATCATATACCACAACTTTGTTGTCATAACAAAAATATGCGTTTCCAAATGTGTCGTAACACACTGTCATAAAGTTAACTGCATTTTGATTAAAACAAAATTATATTACAAAAAAAATCACAGATATACAGAATTGAATTGTTTACTAAATGAATAACAGAAATAATGGACATAAACTGTACTGCGCGGACAAGATGATCTTTAATACTAGAAAATCATGAAAAATTTATAGTTTTTCTTCAGAAATATCTTACATCTAAAAGGATCATCAGGGCTGCAAACACCACTGCTGTCGTGTCGTAGTGATGGAGGGTAGAGTCCAAAATAGTAGTGGTACAGTCCTAAAAGCAATGTAACATCCTACTCAAATAGTCATATACGTGTTTGATCAAATGACGTTGCAGTCATGTGTTAGTGACCCAAGTTAAACCCAAGAGATGTTATTCATCTTCCAACCAGTTACAAACTGGAGTTAGGCATCCAGAGTGAGGCATCCGCATCCAGAGTTAGGCATCTAGAGTTAGGCATCCAGAGTTAGGCATCTAGGGTTAGGCATTTACTCATCTACTATTCATACATGTTTACTAAAAGAGTTACTTGTAGGTATGTAATCATGCACTTTGTAAATATGGATAACAATGGCCGAATACACACATTATTGTGCGTTCTTTACAGAAAAGAGTTTTGCACATAATTATGAATACTTTACAGAAAAACGAGTGAGGGGGCTATGTTTTGTTTATGATAAATCACTTTGACACTTTCAACCAACTTTCTGTAGTAACATCATCTTTTTAAAATAATTTCATTTTTACACAGAAAATGTTAAAAAGCTGAATCTCGTGTCATAAAATTCCGTATATGATGAAATCTCATTTAGTATACTATATAGAAGGCAGACTGACAGCAAGTAACACAATTACGTCTTGCTTTTATGTTAAGTTATCTCTAAATAAGACACACACGTTTTTTTCATAGTACAAACCTCACTATACGCCGAATTAATGGGACACAGATTTCTCACATAGCTATTCAGGTATGGCCAGCGGATACCATAATCATTATCACAGTGATTACAGGTCCAGGGCCAACTTCCCGTCAGCCGTCCATTTAATTGTAAGTTACTAAAGACACTTGACTGACGTAAACAACACTTTCCCTACAACAAAATAGTATGCAGTGGTTAGCGATAGACCATCGTAGTAATCAATTTACCAATGCCTAATTATAAATGAAACGAAAATAGCAAAGAAAAACACTTTCGATAACACATTACTCCAATCAAGGCTTCATGACAATTACAATCTTTCTTAGAGCATGCACAAAGTCGACAATTAATAGTCTATACATGTGTAGAATTAGTATCTAGGTCTCTATCGGAGAAGAACAAATTATATATAAATGATGCTGGCATATAAAATGTCATATGCTTCACGGACACTGATATTTTGTTGAATTGAATAAATCTATAGAAATGAGTCTTATCCATCATACATCATGAAAGAACCATATCCTCTTAATGAACAAAGTGTTGACGCTGTAATTTATTATCAATGTGACTTATAACCCCTTCAAGTACAGATCTATTTACTTACGTTATAACACAAAGTATTCAAGCTTTGGTTTGTATATTTGTGTGTTCATTAACCTCATAAAGCAGAGTGTGTATTCATATACATGATAAAACTAAGTGTTGAATTCGTCAACTGAAGAACAAACTCGTAACACAGGGTTTCAAAAGTTGCATGTTGATGAAAATTACGGAAAAGTTTTATTGTCGCCATAGTGATCTCATTGAGATTTTTTTAGATCTGTGCGATACGAAGCTGGACATGTTTAATGTCCGTTAGTTTGCCCGTTTAGTGTTGTTGTATACCTGGTGACATTATCAACTTGGATTGACCAAGGATTATTACCAGGGGATATCGTGAAGCACAATACGGTACTCTTTTGGAACACTTTGTCTTATTTTGCTTATGCTTTTTCATGAGTCTCTGTGTAAATCTCTCTTTTGTTTGTATTTCGCCCTAGTGTTATGGAATCTGAATTTTGATCATGACAACAATGTATTGTGACTTGTAGATTATTTCTTGACCTTTTTTTTTTTTTTTTTTGTTGTTTATCTGTGTGTTCACAAATCTCATAAAGTATAGTGTGAATTTACTTACCTGATGAAACAATGTGTTGAAGCCTAGATTCTTGTCCTCAATATACAAAGCTATTCCACTGGCTGGATTATCCGTAACATAGTAATCTTGTAGCGCACGATACATCTCTCCTCGTAGATCCCTATCAAACTGTCACACCATTCATACAAGTTTATCAATAAAGCCAACTTACAGAGATATATGTCCTCATCGGACGAACTTTAATGTCTTAACACAATACACAATTAGAGGTTATAGAAATAGTATGTATACCAAGGCCACTGAGTTATATGTATTAGAGAGAAACAAATATATTATAATCTGTTATAATCGAATTTTCTTCAATTTCCTTATGCAATGTTGTGTTCAATGTTGAGTATTTCTGATGGATGGTTTTGTTATTCTATGCCTGGTTCTCCTTGTAAAAGAGAAGATTTGATAGAATTACGCATATGTAGATAATACAATCTGATTCAGAATTAGATACAGTAGATGCATGTACATCAGTATATATACATAATACAGCAGACCAATGGGTCCACGGAATGAATTGATTCGAAATTAATAATATTTTCTTTCGAATCACGCGACCACGTTCAAAGTGGTAAGGTACCATGTGAAAATAAACATATACTTGACAGAATAAATACATGATATCTGACAAAAAATCAAGATACAAAAATGAAGAAAGATGTAAAGAATATGAATGATTTTCGACTTTTTTACAGGGGATAGCACTACATCTGCCATGTCAGTGTAACCATTCTTGCTTTCATTTGAAAACGTGATATAACTACATTAAATAGTTTGGACGTACACGGTGGTGTTCTGTCGATGAGCCAGAAGAGGCTTTTCGTAACATTGATTCATTTTTTTATTCATATAAAGGTCTCTGTGTAATCCTATCGTTTTGCTTATCTTGCAATCCTTAGATCAGTATTTTCTATAAGTTCCATGCTTTTTTTTTTTTTTTTTTTTTTGGTGTGTGTTTTTTTATGTTAGTTTTTGTTTTTCGTTGTTTTGTTTGTTTGTTTTTTGTTTTTGGTTTTTCATCATTTCGACATCTAAATACAGCATATCATTAGGTTGGAGAATGTAAAAGTTTTCTCAAAACCGTTGTCATGAAATGGACTATTGTTGTTCTACCTTAATTTTATCTTTAGGTATCCAGTTTCCTTAGCTTCCTTTGATCCTCGGTTAAACTTGTGTTTCCCATTCTTAACCCGATACTGGATAAATGTACGATTACTTATTGCAGATACATTACCATGAGTTTGGAAAATAAAACAAATGCTGGTATAGAAATGCAAATGGAATCGCTTTTATCTGATACATTTTCTCATTATTTCACGCCCTTCAACATAGCAATCTAAAAGTTTTTTTTTTTTTTATTTCGATACAAGGAATTCTATTGTTATCTGTTAATTACCTCCAAAAGAACGGCTTCTGGATCAAACTGTTGAATCACTAATTGATATATAAGTATATGGTTTACGCCAACGAAAGACTTACCGCTACTCGGAGTGGTATCCATGCCAGAATGGCAATAAGTTTGAAGACTAAAGATGTCACAACAGCAATTACTGCCTACAACAGATTAAAAAAGTTTAGGTGGAATACAGTAACAACAGAGAACAGAGGTTCAGCCGGGCACTGCCTACAACAGATAAAAAAGGTCAGGCGGAGTACAGTAACAACAGAGAACAGAGATTTAGCCGGGCACTACCTACAACAGAGAACAGAAGTTTAGCCAGGCACTACCTACAACAGAGAACAGAGGTTTAGTCAGGAACTGCCTACAACAGAGAACAGAAGTTTAGCCAGGCACTACCTACAACAGAGTAAATAAGGTTAGGCGGAGTACAGTAACAACAGAGAACAGAGATTTAGCCGGGCACTACCTACAACAGAGTAAATAAGGTTAGGCGGAGTACAGTAACAACAGAGAACAGAGGTTTAGTGAGGAACTCACTACAACAGAGAACAGAGATTTAGCCGGGCATTGCCTACAACAGAGAACAGAGGTTTAGTGAGGAACTCACTACAACAGAGAACAGAGGTTTAGCCGGGCATTGCATACAACAAAGAACAGAGGATAAGCCTAGCACTGTCTACAACAGAATAAATCAAAGTACTGAAAGTACTGAAAGGCTAAACGTATTGCAAAATGTTCACAAATAACTGCAAAGCTATATTACTTCCCCCATACTCCATACTTTGGAATGCAAAATTTACTTAAATAAGAGAACCAGAGGCTATTTTTCTTAATTTTAAGCGATTTTATATCTTCTTTAATTCTTATTTCAAATTTGACGACAATAATGTGAATAAATAAAAATAGGTAAAAAAAATAACAAAATGCACACAACCATATATTTATTGCTAACAAGCCAAATGACAAATAGCTCTATGATGAAGTTGACTAAATAAAACCTTTGAAATACCCAAGATGTTGCAATTACTATCCTATCAATATGAGGATTTAAACAAATCGAAAGGACTTTATACCTACTTCTTTATTTTGAATGTATTGCAAAGTAATGGTCCTTACTTATTATAATCATATTTGTAGTTGAGGAAAGTAGATAAGGTATACACAGCATTTCAGATAGATAAAAGTGTAAGTAATTACATTAAATGTATTTGCATGCCTGTCTTCCTTGAAGTATCATGGTTAGACTTTTCTTCCAGTAATTACGTCTATAAATGCATAGTTCTATGAGATGAAACCAGACTTCAATATATATACAAAATTTACAATATTTTCACTATAGCTACTATTATTTCTGATCTCCAATGCATTAGATAATGTCACCATGACACGCTAAATGAATAAATATGTTACGGAAATATTTCGTTTTAGTTAATTGATAATTATAAACATGAATATTTTTGGGGTTTTTTTATACGCGCTTTGTTTAAAGGAATATTTTCATTTCAAGGAACTTTGATACACATTAATAAACATTGAGAAATCAGCACAATCAACCTTCATCAAATAAAACTAAAAGACAAAAAATATAGGATATAACAAAGTCAACATCATGATCAGTACAGTATTGAAAATATATTATTCATAAATCATGAGCACCAAATGTACCTTGCCTACGAAGCGCAAACTTTTTATCTTCAAAAACATGAAAAAGTGTCATGGCGGTGGATGTGAAAATCCTGTAAAAGTGTCATATCGGCGAGTGTGCGCGTAGGACGAACAGTCCAATTTTGTGACGTCTAATGAGGTAAAGTGATGTTATATATTAAGACGATCTTGCCACAACGACAAGGATTAAAGCAAAATTGATGTTCTGTTTGTAAGTTTTGTTTGTTTATAAGTGCTGTTAGTTGATAATTCAAACCAAGCCCCCAGACTAGCTTCTTATCATGGCGCCAACTCGCACGTACGTTTACGTCATGTCGAGAATTCCGTAAAATATATTGTTCAAAATTTATCAATAGTTCAACCACACTGTGCTTCTTATTTGAAATATATAGTAATTGTATTGTTATTAAAAAATAAACTAATTTTGGATGCTTTTAAAATAGCGATTTGAAAAATCGCGGCATTATTTACGCAAAAAATTGCCGCTAGAGGGTTCTAACTCTTTTCGATATTTCAGCCAATGAGAAGGCCAGGATCGGTAAATTTTGTCTGAAAGGCCGTCGCAATAGGCTATGCGTACTGAGTACGTTTAGCCTAAAAAGGCTAAAGATTAAAGATGTCACAACAGCAATTACTGCCTACAACAGATTAAAAAAGTTTAGGTGGAATACAGTTACAACAGAGAACAGAGGTTTAGCCGGGCACTACCTACAACAGAGTAAAAAAAGTCAGGCGGAGTACAGTCACAGCAGAGAACAGAGGTTTAGTTGGGCACTGCCTACAACAAAGAACAGTGGTTTAGCCAGGCACTGCCTACAACAGAGAACAGAGGTTTAGCCGGGCACTTCTTACAACAGAGAACAGAAGTTTAGCCAGGGACTTCTTACAACAGAGAACAGAGGTTAAGCCGGGCACTGCCTATAACACAGTAAAAAAAGTCAGGTGGAATACAGTTACAACAGAGAACAGAGGTTATGCCGGGCACTGCTTACTGCAGAGAACAGAGTTTTAGCCGGGCACTGCCTACAATAGAGAACAGAGGTTTAACTGGGCACTGCCTACAACAGAGTAAAACAGGTCATGCGGAGTACAGTAAAAACAGAGAACAGAGGTTTAGCTGGGCACTGCCTACAACAGAGTAAAAAATGTTAGATGGAATACAGTAACAACAGAGAACAGAGATTTAGCCAGGCACTGCCTACAATAGAGTAAAAAATGTTAGATGGAATACAGTAACAACAGAGAACAGAGATTTAGCCAGGCACTGCCTACAATAGAGAATAGAGGTTTAGCTGGGCATTGCCTACAACAGAGAATAGAGGTTTAGCCGGGCACTGCCTACAATAGAGAACAGAAGTTTAGCCGGGCACTGCCTACAATAGAGAACAGAGGTTTAGCCGGGCACTGCCTACAATAGAGAACAGAGGTTTAGCCAGGCACTGCCTACAATAGAGAACAGAGGTTTAGCCAGGCACTGCCTACAATAGAGAACAGAGGTTTAGCCAGGCACTGCCTACACCAAAGCAAATTAGGTTAGGCAGAGTACAGTTACAGCAGAGAACAGTGGTTTAACAGGGCACTGTCTACAGCAGAGTAAGATAAGGTCAGATGGAATACAGTGACAACAGAAAACAGAAGTTTAGCCGGGCACTGCCTATAACAGAGTAATGAACATGTAATGCGGACAGTGATTAAAAATGTGAAAAGAATGCGAAAATGATGATTTACAGAATACAACAAATATTGTCAAAGACAAAGTTAACATCAATAGATTGAACATTAATCAAAGTTTTATTACACATAAAACAGCCATGATACTCACCATGTAATACATGGGCCCCATTCCTAGATATATGGTTACGATTCCAACGCAGTAAATGACGAAAGAAACGCAGCCGATACTGACCAATATGATGGACATTATCCTAACCCACGACGTTACATCCCTTCCAGCTATATAGATGTATTCAAACAAGACTTTGATGTCCTTATGGCCAAGTATATCATCAACGCCTAAATAGACTCCAGTTATCAGAAGCCCTAATGAAAACAGCTGTGGGAAAATTAAATGACACTATTATTGCGAAAACATCTGCAAGAATTACATCATTAATGCGTTGTATATAAATTGCTCCAATAGAATTAGCTGTAATTGATACGTCACAAAGATGCAGCCCAATGAGCTCGGAACTACGTCATCAAAATGAATTAAGTAATAGTCACCATTATATTTTATATTTATAAATTATATACCATTTTAAAGCACTGATATTTGTTTTACAATCAGTATCATCCATATAATAATAAACATCGGTATGTTTATCTCAAAGAGAAATACACATTTCCCAATGTCACAGTGGGCAATCATTTACTAAATTTGATACTGTATGATGATACGCACCAGTCCTAGTAGAGTGAAAACCATGAAGCCTACTGACCGACATTTGTTCTCCCTGGATGGCCAAAAAGAAAAACAGAAAAGAGTAAATACACTGTGATATGGCGGGATCATATTTTGTTATTGTAGAACACAATACTGTAATTATTGTAGAACACAACACTGTAGTTATTGTATGACACAATACTGTAGATATTGTATGACTCAATACTGTAGTTTTTGCATGACGTAATATTGTAGCAATTTCATGACACAACATATTAGATATTGTTTTACACAAGATTGTAACTGATGCTTTACACATCGGTTTAGCTAAGGTGAGATACAAATGATACCAAAATGTTGTAGCTGTTGAATGACACAATTGTGTCGATGTCGTATCAATCAATATCATAACTACATGGTACCATAATATCACTAATCTATGATACTACAACATCATTAACGTGTGGTATAAATTTTAATAAATTTACTGAAAAATACAAAGTCGACTTACTTTAAGTAATTCATGAAAATCTGCCAGCTCGAAGTTTCCGTCTCTTGTTCAGAATCGTTTTCAAATCCAAACTTGTAGAAATAAATAATATTGAAAATCTGCAACATAAATCATTTTAAATAATGAAATATTTATTGAATAAAATGATTATATGATTTTGCAACCAACTGACACTATCATATCTTGCGATACATGCCCCCTTCAAGGTAAACAAAGAACCAAATGATATGGTTGCGACCGTTTATATCATCCCTCATAGTTTGCTGATAACGAAAAATAGTTTCTCGTATTGACAATTCACCGTAATACTCAAAATATTTCAACCTTAGTGGTGAAAATTAATTTGTGTGAGGTAAAAGGCCGTCTTCATTATTTCTATAATAATCAAAGTAAAAGTACATCTTTTCCTTTCTTTTTCAATTTTTTTCATTGACAAATGTTTTACCTGTTTTTCTCGGACAATATGGCCGTAATTGGCGGAGACATTAACAAACCAATCGATAATTTAACATTGTTTACCTAACCTGCCGGCCGGCATTATAGAACAGAATTCTCACATCTTATGTCAGATGAACTTGTTAATTTACACGATAGTCATGCTATCCAAACAACGGTCATTTGTTAAGATAACCTAAGAATTGAGATAGATAATCAAAATGGCGAAGGAAAGATCACAAACAATGAAATACATGTACTTGATTGTCATAGAGCAGGTTGAGAACACTTTTCATGGTATTGCGTCGTTATATATGACATGTATAAAACCTTCTTTTTTTTATTCTTGAGCGAAAATCGATGTCAGTAAGGCAACGGAATATTTTCAGACAGACATATATTGTAGCAGCAATACCTATGTTCATGATGTACGTATTATGTAAACAAAATGTGATACGTGTCTGACCGTATTCATTAGCATGTGTCCAGGTATTAATACAATAATAATATATCTCTGTGATTACAACTTCGCCAACATGTCGGTATCTATACAGAATAATGTACTATAACACGTGTCACTCTGAAATTCGTATAATAAACTTTTCGTTTTGACAGCTTTTGTATCCGGGTCATCATAAGAAAAGAAGTTCATATAGTACAACCTGTAGAAGTGTGTGAAGTTTCGATGACTACACCGACATCTTTATCAAACAATGAACAGTGTGGAGGGTACGTATAGTACAACCTGTAGAAGTGTGTGAAGTTTCGATGACTACACGACATCTTTATCAAACAATGACCAGTGTGGAGGGTGCGTATAGTACAACCTGTTGAAGTGTGTGAAGTTTCGATGACTACACCGACATCTTTATCAAACAATGAACAGTGTGGAGGGTACGTATAGTACAACCTGTAGAAGTGTGTGAAGTTTCGATGACTACACGACATCTTTATCAAACAATGACCAGTGTGGAGGGTGCGTATAGTACAACCTGTTGAAGTGTGTGAAGTTTCGATGACTACACGACATCTTTATCAAACAATGACCAGTGTGGAGGGTACGTATAGTACAACCTGTAGAAGTGTGTGAGGTTTCGATGACTACACCGACATCTTTATCAAACAATGACCAGTGTGGGGCGTACTGGTTCTAATGTAAGCAGTGCCCGATATAGTAAGGTATCGGCCAGTTTTTTGGCTTTACTTAAACCTTATATTTACTAAGGTTGAAATAATTCTGAAGAGATGGTAAACAGATTATAAACCAAAACAATACACAACATGGAACAATACATTGTACTTTCTTTTACACTGAAACATCGTTTGCAGATATGGTTGCCTTGTTTCAAAATATTTCAAGGTAATTCCTGTACCTAGAGTGGTGAACTTGGCATTTACGAAGGACCTTCAACATTGCCACAAACACGGTGTCAATGTATTTCAGAAACACGAACCGAGAAAATATTGAATATGTCATACTGACTATCAATCTGTTAAGTGATACTGACTGTGAATCTGTTAAGTGAAACTGACCATGAATCTGTTAAGTAATACTGACCATCACTATGTAAGTGATACTAACCGTGAATATGTTAAGTGATACTGACCATGACTCTATTAAGTGATACTAACCATCAACCTGTTAAGTGATACTGACCATAAATCTGTTAAGTGATACTGACCATCAATCTGTTAAGTGATACTGACTGTGAATATGTTAAGTGATACTGACTGTGAAACTGTTAAGTGATACTGACCGTAAATCTGTTAGGTGATACTGATCATGAATCTGTTAAGTGATACTGACCATGAATCTGTTAGTGATACTGACCATGAATCTGTTAAGTGATACTGATCATGAATCTGTTAGTGATACTGACCATGAATCTGTTAAGTGATACTGACCAACGATCTGGTAAGTGATACTGACCATCAATCTGTTAAGTGATACTGATCATGAATCTGTTAGTGATACTGACTATCAATCTGTTAAGTGATACTGACCAACGATCTGTTAAGTGATACTGACTGTGAATCTGTTAAGTGATACTGACCATGAATCTGCTAAGTGATAGTGCCTGTGAATCTGTTGGTGAGACTGACTGTGAATCTGTTAAGTGATACTGGTTGTGAATCTGTTAAGTGATACTGATCATGAATCTGTTAAATGATACTGACCATGAATCTGTTAAGTGATACTGACCATTAATCTGTTAAGTGATACTGTCCATGAATCTGTTAAGTGATACTGACCATCAATCTGTTAAGTGATACTGACCATCAATCTGTTAAGTGATACTGGCCATGAATCTGTTAAGTGATACTGACTGTGAATATGTTAAGTGATACTGACTGTGAAACTGTTAAGTGATACTGACCGTAAATCTGTTAGTGATACTGACCATGAATCTGTTAAGTGATACTGACCATCAATCTATTAAGTGATATTAATCATCAATCTGTTAAGTGATACTGATTATGAATCTGTTAAGTGATACTGACCATGAATCCTTTAGTGATACTGACTGTGAATCAGTTAAGTGATACTGATTATGAATCTGTTAAGTGATACTGATCATGAATCTGTTAAGTGATACTGACCATCAATCTGTTAAGTGATACTGACCATCAATCTGTTAAGTGATACTGACCATGAATCTGTTAGTGATACTGACTGTGAATCAGTTAAATGATACTGATCATGAATCTGTTAAGTGATACTGACCATCAATCTGTTAAGTGATACTGACCATGAATCTGTTAAGTGATACTGACCATGAATCCTTTAGTGATACTGACTGTGAATCAGTTAAGTGATACTGATCATGAATCTGTTAAGTGATACTGACCATCAATCTGTTAAGTGATACTGACCATCAATCTGTTAAGTGATACTGACCATGAATCTGTTAGTGATACTGACTGTGAATCAGTTAAATGATACTGATCATGAATCTGTTAAGTGATACTGACCATGAATCTGTTAAGTGATACTGACCATGAATCTGTTAGTGATACTGACTGTGAATCTGTTAAGTGATTCTGACCATCAATCTGTTAAGTGATACTGATCATGAATCTGTTAAGTGATACTGACCATTAATCTGTTAAGTGATACTGACCATGAATCCTTTAGTGATACTGACTGTGAATCAGTTAAGTGATACTGATCATGAATCTGTTAAGTGATACTGACCATCAATCTGTTAAGTGATACTGACCATCAATCTGTTAAGAGATACTGACCATGAATCTGTTAGTGATACTGACTGTGAATCTGTTAAGTGATTCTGACCATCAATCTGTTAAGTGATACTGATCATGAATCTGTTAAGTGATACTGACCATTAATCTGTTAAGTGTTACTGACCATGAATCTGTTAGTGATACTGACCAACCTCCCAAGTCTAGGATTAAGTTATATAAAAGTACCAACCTTTCCAGTTTAGGATTAAGTGATATAAAAGTACCAACCTCCCACGTGTAGGATTAAGTGATATAAAAATACCAACCT